ACAAATGTGAGGGCTCTACTACAGGGAATACACATACTACCAAACATTTTGAAAAAAAAACACAAACAAAAGTAGACAAAATAGATGAGTGGGACATACTAAAAATGAAAAACTTATGTGCATCAAAAGACTTCACCAGAAGCATAAAAACGGAACCTACAGAATGGGAAAAAATCTTTTGCAATGACACATCAGACAAGGGACTCATTCCAGAAACATATAGGAAATTATAACACCTCTACAAGAAAAGGACAAATAACCCAACTGAAAAATTGGCACAGGACATGAACAGACACTTCACCAAGGACGAGATCCAGGCAGCCAACAAACACATGAAGAAATGTTCACGATCACCAGCTATTTGTTGTTGTTGTTGTTAAGTGCCGTCAAGTCGGTTCCAACCCACAGCGACCCTGTACAAGGTTTTTGAGGCTGTAAATCTTTACCGGAGCAGAAAGCCTCCTCTTTCTTCCGTGGAGTGGCTGGTAGTTTCGAACTGCTGACCTTAAAGTTCTCAGCCCGAAGTGTAACCACTATGCTACCAGAGAGATGCAAATCAAAACAATGAGGTATCATCTCACACCAGCAATAACAGCAAAGATCAAAAAAGTAGAGGACAATAAATGATGGCAGGGATGTGGAGAGACTGGGACTCTCCTACATTGTTGATGAGATTGCAAAATGGTACAACCACTCTGGAAAGCAACATGGCACTTCCTCAGAAAGTTGGAAACAGAAATACCTTATAACCCAGCAATTTCTCTACTTGGTATTTACCCACAAGAAATACGAGCCATAACATGAGTAGATATATGCACATCAATGTTCATAGCAGTGCTATTTACAACAGCAAAAAGATGGAGACAGCCTAAGTGCTCATCAACTGAAGAATGGATAAACAAACTGTGGTACATACACACAATGGAATACTATGCTACCTTGAAGAACAAGTAAGCTGCAAGCCATCACATAACATAGATGAAACTTGAGGACATTATGCCGAGTGAAATTAGTCAGTCACAAAAGGAGAAATACTCCACGGAACCATTGTTATAAAAGAACCCACACTAAAAGGGGAAAAAACGAAGGGAAGGGAAGGGAAGGGAAGGGAAAACGAAGGGAAGGGAAGGGAAAACGAAGGGAAGGGAAGGGAAAACAAAGGGAAGGGAAGGGAAAACGAAGGGAAGGGA